TCTCTCTCTCTCTCTCTCTCTCTCTCTCTCTCTCTCTCTCTCTCTCTCTCTCTCTCTCTCTCTCTCTCTCTCTCTCTCTCTCTCCACCCCCCGCGTCTGCCTGGGACAAATCCGTACAGTCATGTTGGGAACCCTCATGTTGCCTGTACCCCACCGTACAGATGGCTTGTATACATTCATTCCCAGGGTATGTTATGTTCGGGGGACGACCGCAGCCATGGACGCTGTACTCTGTGTGCGCCCGCACGCGTGCCCGCGCGCGCGTGTGTGTGTGTGTGTGTCTAAGTCCTCGCAGGGACAAATTGGGCGACGGTTTCAAATTTGCCTGTGTGTGTGTGTGTCGAAGTCTGCACGGGATGAATTCAGGCACGGTTTCAAATTAGCCTCGTGTGCTGGACAGCCCCCCCCAGCAGGGTAGAGTTTTCTCAACGCCCGAATCTGGACGTGTTGGTGGAGATGTGCAGAAATGGCGTTATATTTCCTCAACACCATGTGCAAAAATGGCGTTATATTTACTCAACACCACATCTCCACAAACAAATCCAGATACGGGCATTGAGGAAACTCTTCCCTGCTGATGGGACCTGGCCATTGCAGGTGCTACTCTGTTCACAGGTCCTGGTGTCTACAAAGGTCCCCGTACCCGCTTTTTCTGCTGTTTTTGCCTCTAACGAACTTCAGCCCTGGTAGGGCTGCCATGTCCAGTCTTCTTTGTCTTTTTGAACTCCTCAGATTTGAAGTTGCAAAGCAGTGGTATTTCCTGCCTATTTCAAACTTACAGTGTGACTTCGGAACAGTTTCCTCTAAGAAAAAATAATTACATGATCTTTTTTTTTTTCCCAATAAAGTTGCAGATTATATTATAAAAGTAATTGAATGAGGGAATCCCTCAACATCTCAACCGGGTAGTGAAGCTTGTGCTGGAAACCGGGTCCAGCCTCCCATGGTTTGCAACTACAAAGAAAGTGAGCAACTGGAGCAAGACTTTTAGGAATCCAGAATAAGGGGAGCAAAACAGCCAAGACCGACTGAAGAAATTCAAAAGAATTCCTATTCCGGGTCTCCTGCTACTCTGTCTGGGAGCCTTACCCAGCTTCGCTTCAAGATCTTACAGAAAAGAGACCGAGTACGGATCCGTTAACTCAAGGAAGCCTGAACGCCCTAGACGGGTTTCCCTGTGTATCCGAAAATCGATTTAACACGGATTTCGCGTTAAAAAATTGAACGCGCGTTAAATTCATGTTCAATCCCTGTTCAAACGCGCATTGGACGCGAATGAACGAGGTCCGCGAACCACGTTTCCGCACGTTTGGGGGTGGGGTAGGGGTTTTGTGAAAGTGTGGGGTGGTAGTGTCCGTTGTCGGGTACTGCCCCATGCACTTTTTTTTTTTTTTTTTTTTTTTTTTTTGGAAAAAAAAACCAACGCGCGAACCCCTTTGCGTCCTGCAGGGCATTCGCGGGGTGCCTGCTGGGGTGGTGGCGCAGGGGAAATGGTCCAAACGGGTACAAAAACGGTACTCGCGTTCGGCCGCAGTTCATTTGCCGCGCGAGCCATACCGCTCCAACGCAACAAATGGGTATCCCGTGCGTCGAACGTTGTGGACGAGAGAGAGAGAGAGAGAGAGAGAGAGGGAGAGAGAGAGAGAGAGAGAGAGAGAGAGAGAGAGAGAGAGAGAGAGAGAGAGAGAGAGAGAGAGA